GAGATTACTGTCTTCACATACAATAATTACAAGCAAGAACTGGTTCAGAAAGGGTTTTTCTTTAAGATCTCTTTAAGAAGACAGAACTAGGCTTGAGAGAAATGTTACCACAATCAAAGCATATACGTAACGGAGAAATTTCTCTTTTTTGCAAAAAGTTTTTAGAGCAAGATGCAAGATAATGTTGGATGAAATACCGTAATATAAAATCAATTCCGATCTTAATGCTCTTAATGCTAAAGCCTTTTTCACTGACATAATCAAGACAGTACCCCTTATCTAGGATGATTTATCAAATTTTTACATCTCTCTTCTTACGATTATTTTAAGGATTGCTGTATCTACTGGTGTTAAAATCTTAAAAGAGACCTGTAATTACAAAGGCTACAATTACTTAAGCTCAAGCACTATTTCACAACTGGATTGTCTGCTTCTGACAATAGGAGAGAGAAAACCAGATGGGTAAAAAAAAATGGTGTAGTGACTTTCCCAGTCAAAGAAGAATATTATCTCTCTGTGGCTGTGTTACATGAAAAAACGGTATTCTTTGCAGAAAGCAAGTTCATGGCCCTTGTAAAAGAGTTGCATTTTGTACAACATTTAATTTGTAATTGTAAGACCCTAGAATGTAAGCAAAACTACAATGGTCCTGGTTTAAAAAAAGTAGCATATGATTAGTCCAAATCAATTCCATCCAATCTGCTTTTTTGGCACAGTGAGAAATTAAAATAGGAGCTAGCAGTGGTGACATTTATTAAACATTCAAAGCTTTATTCCCTGTTCTGATTTCAGCTTTCTAGTGACAGTATGGTTTACAAAACATGGTGTGCGTGTTTCGATAGGAATTCATTTCAGGAAAGGCATGTCAGTATTCCTTTCACAAATGTCATGAGGCCACTTCCGTTGAGAAATGCTAAACTACAACATCTCAGTCATCAAACATGTTGGAATCAGTCTAGGCCACTCCTGCAGTCTCTTGGACTGTACACAGTCTGGCTTAGAAGTTTTCAGATTTTCTTAAAACTGGTCTAATGCTCTTCTTTTCAGCATATAATCTCTCAAAATGGTATCAGAGGATCCTGATGACTCGGAATCAACTTCAAGCTCAAAAGGTGAAAAGCACTGAAAAGCAAGGACATTCATTTTAGGCTTTTCTTTGTGACAGGAGTTATTTCCATGTTCAGGGGATTACTGTCTAGGTAAACTGGTGAAGCTTTTGAGAAACTAAAAAACATAATGGGTTAAATTTGAAATGTAGTTCAGGTGGGTAGCTGCGTCAGCATGCATAGGCTGCAAAGGAACATAGTGTTTTCTTTCTTCTCGTTTCAGCATGGAATAAACCTAATACCTGTTCCTAAATTGAAAATGGTCAATGAAATGAATCAGTGGTGGAACAGCCAGACAACACTGAGCTCGCAGAGAAATACTTCCTGTAATGCTTCAGGAAAAGCTCACTAATGTACACCTGTAGCTAGACAAGCTAATTCTTCCCAGACTGACAAAATGCTTCTTCAGGACTTGCTGTCATATTTCTGAAGGGAGGCACATACTGTGTGAATGGGATAGTGTGTATCTACAGTGCCTTTAATGACCTTATAGTAATAGTAGTTATTTCTATTAAAAACTTTGGCATTTCTAATGGACATCAGAAAAATTCTGTTCATATCTCATTCACATTGCTGTACCACAGAATCACTGAAAGAACAGTTACTTGGTTTCAGCTGTCTTTGAGCTTGCATATCTGAAAAGATTCGATTCTAGCCAAAGTATACATCATACTGTATATTCCCACCAACGTAGTCTGAGGCCCAAGGTCTTATTTAGCTTCTGCCTTCTGGTCAGGAAGAGAAATCAATGGATGGATGTGTTTTTTGTTGATCATTTAGACTTTCAGAGTCTCTTTTATTCAGCATCTTTGTTTCTCAGTCATGCTAATGTCTTTTAGCCTATGCATAAAAATACCAGAAAATGTTTGCTTGAATTAGTGTTGTCTCTCCGTAAGATGAGGTCGATTTCGGACAAAAAAAAGAATGAACCATCACCCACAGCATGAGGGAAATCTCGTGGCCACTTTGATTAGTGCCAAATAGGTCAACTGCTTTATAAACTGTTGATAAGAGACTAGAGTTTGTGGAGTTGGGATAAAGGGTAGGTTGCTACAGAAGTCAGATCTTGTTCTTAGAACTTCTGAATATAATGCATGCAACTGACATAGACTGCCTTCGGTAAGCATTTATAAGCACACAATAGGGTTATTGTAGTTGAATGATGCTTAATCACTTTGTTGCAAAACTGCTATGTGTATTCAGTCCTCCCCATTGCAGAGATCTCAAGCCACAGTTACAGGATTATCCATCCATTTTCTAACCACTTGTTCCAATTCAGCGTCGAGGGGAAGCCATCGCCTATCCCAGCATTCAGTGGGAGCAGAGCGGGGTACCCCCTGGATGAGATGCTAGTCCATCACTGGGTGGACACAAAGAAAACAAACAGAGACACTCACAGCAGGTCCAATTTTCCAGAAGTCAATTAACCTTCTGCTGTGTTATTGAACTGTGGGAGAAAACCATAGCACACTGAGGAAACCCACACGAAGACGATAAGAACATACAAATTCCACACCCCAGGTCAGGAATTGAACTCGGGGCCCCAGTGTTGTGTGGCTGTAACCACTGCACGACTGCGGCACCCCATGACTGGATTATATGCAGTTTAAAACGTTCTCCCACTGTCAAAGATAATCCAAAATGTAGCATATTGTAATGATAGTTTTGCATGCATCTAGTTCATTGAACCCCATCTAATGTGAGATATCTACAGCTGAATATCAATAAATAATAAATTGCTCCGTGAACAACTTTGAGTACAAAGCTCACATCTTTTCATATAAGCAACAAAAAAGGTTTTCCAAGAGATTAAGTAATGAATTCCAATGAACCTTTCAAAGTTAATATTTCCCCCTGAGAGAGATAAATCTGAGTGACTGCACACTGCGCAGTACTGTACATCCACGAATGACATTAGAAGAAAACAGACAAACTAATTTTTTCCAGACGGACAAAATGTTGTTTCGAGATTACCATCATACAGTGTGTTGTCATCTTCTGTAGAATAACCATTCAACAGTTTCCTGGACTAATGAAACAGAAAGCTGAATCCAAAGCAGAGCTCAAATGATGCCACGCCACAGCACACCCAGACTGACAGAGCAGTGTGCAAAAAGAAAGTCCTGAAATCCTTTTACCATGAGAATATGGTGTCTGTATTTGTAAAAGACTTTCAGCAACTGTAGCTATCATAGTTATCAGCACATCTGACAACTAACCTTTAATGTAATTTAGCCAAATGTTTCTTGAAAAGGAAGCCCAGTCCATTTACAAAAGCTACATGTTTTGGCAGAGAGGAAAGACTCAAAAAGTGTTCATTTCTATTAATGTTTTTTTCTTGTATACCTCATTTGCAATGTGAAATATAAGTACGCTCTTGCAGAATCAAAATGACATTTGAGCTCATTTTGCTTCATTTTATTTCAATTACGACATACTCCTCCACATACACACAAAACAACTCTAACATCTGGATTACGTTTTGTATTGCTTACAATGTGGTAATAAACAATTTGTTAAAGAATCTTAGGGTTTAACTGGGGGTACTTTAAGATTTTTAGATCAAAGATTGCATTTGCTAACATTTTTAACTTGTTAGTAAATGTTGATGCTTTTTGGAATTTACTGAGTTTCTGTTAAACTTCTGTATTGTAATAAAAGTTCAGAAGGGAGTATGTTGCTTGCTGTTTGTGTGAGTTTAGTGATCTGGGCACAACTAGCCTTCTCTGAACAAAACAAATGGAACAGCACAGTTACATTTTCAATCTGATTATAGCATCTTACAGACACAAAGAAAACATGTTATTATGAAAAACATTCAACTGCCCTTAATGAATGCTTTTATAACTGTGAGCATGTGTATTTTAATCATATGGTTAAGTCATAATATGGCTACCAGATAAACACATATGGTACACTGGGAGAAGAATTCTGTGTTCTGTATCTTAAGCTGAACTAACAGAATATTTTTTTAAGGGTTAGAGGACTATTTTGTACATTCACTCTGTTCATTCTAACATAGGCAATTCAATGTATTGAATGAATGAAGTACAATGAATTCAATGTAATACTGTATAGCCAGCTTCATATGTATTCTAATAATATTCTTATACTTTTGCTACACAGTAAAAGCTAAAACCTGACTTGTTTCATCCCTAGAACATATCGATGCATAAGAAAACTGGAATACAGAAGGTTTTGAGGATGACTGTATATCCCAACAGACATCTGTCAAAATTCGGGGTCACGGTTACTAAAATTTGCAGCCAGTGAGATGCTGGACCGACCGGTGGAAACATGAACACTTGAGTGTTAGGATGTTATGCTGTAATGTTTGGTATTTTTACAGGCCTGAAGTGGTGTTTCTCAGCTTTGGCGCCTCTCTGCTGCTCTGACGTACTTATAACAGTGCCATACGAGGGTTAATGGGCTAGAGAAAATACTTTTGGGCTCAAATTTATAGAAAGTAAATTATTCTCTTGGGTCATAAGGTGTAATTATCCCATTTTGGTGGGAAGACCACACTTATTTTCACATTCCCCTGTGCCTCAGCCATTATCTTCTAAAAGACAACTTACTGTGCAAGGAGAAGAGTACAAAGGAGGAATAGAACTGCAAAGAAAAAAAGTTTCGAGTATCAAATGAAACTGTTAAACTACAAAAAAAAGCTGTGAAAAACAGTATTTCTAGTCTTCGGAAGCCAGTTGTTCCATGCTGATAGTATTGACAGCTTTGTTAGCACTGTGTTTAAAGCTGTATACCTAACTGTATGTGGTTAGGTTCTGTAATCTCTTTTAGTCCAGGAGACTTTAAAATAAACTTTTTTTAATAAAAAAGCTAGCTCTACATTGCTTTATAACACGGTGGGCTCTGTCTTGTTCTGATGGCCTGCAGGACCTGTGTGGAGCCACGACGTGTGATACGCTGGGGATGGCAGACGTGGGGACGATGTGTGACTCAAAGAGAAGCTGTTCGGTTATTGAGGATGACGGCCTGCCTTCAGCTTTCACTACCGCACACGAGCTGGGTGAGTCCGTCGTGCACAACCCGTCACTGAGGCGCCATGCCTGAGCATGGTCACAGGGAAGACTCCCATCGGAGCGGATGGTGGGAGAGGATCTGGGATCCAGGATCCAGCAGGTGCTCCTTCAGTGTGGCTAAGAGATGCTGAGACCTGTAGCAGATGGGCCAATTTAGTCAATTGGAGAATCGGGGAGTTCAATGCAAAGACTGAGACTGGCAATCTAACAAAGCTGGGTGAGTCAGGATCAGGATGAAACAGGCTAAGGTTTCAAAGGGCCAGAAGAGGATTTTGCTGGAACTAGAGCAAGTTGTGGGCACCAGCCACCTCTGAAGATAATTTTAGGATTCCCAAAAATAACAAACCTTAACGACTGCTCTGTGATCAGAATTCTGACTTACCAGAGCATGGAAAGCTTGCACATATTACAAAATCCGGTTTACACCTTATTTTAGCATTGTCCAGCCCATCTCTTGAATGCACTTAACTGGTACAGAAGGCAGCATATTTCACTTCGTATACTTTGAAGCCCAAACTAGCTACGGCATGTTCATTTCCACAGTGTTTCATTTTTTTTCCATTATTCCAAATACATCCTACAGTAAATGCAGCGCACTGAAGCTAGGAACATACAGCCCAGGGCAAAAGCAGCAGCAACAGCCATTAACACTGGCAAAGCACACCCACATGGTTGTATGAGGAACTCAAGACAGCCACCAGGGAAGCTGTCATTACCTCATGCATGTGCATTAGCACTTCTTAACATAACACCTACGGCACTATTTTAGACACGAACAAAAGTGATTTTGACCACTGGTAAATGGTGTTTCTCACATTTGTCTGATCAAAAGAAATGAGTCATCTGGGCTGCACTGTTCAGTAAATAGTACTTGCCACAAGGCTCCTTCGGTCCAAGCTAGCATTATGCATGACAGGCTTCAAGCCCTAAAGTGACAGTTGCTATTAGGCTTGTTAAATGTGTTATCAAAGAGCTCGAAAAAGAATTACCACTCACAACAGATGCTGAAGTAGTTCCAGATGTAAAAAAAAAATCCCAGTCAGAAGAATCACATCCGATTCCTTGCAAGATGCGAGCTGTAGTGAGGGGTATGAAAAACACAATGAAAGAGTGTTAGAATCGAAAGCATTTGTTGAGTTTTAATGTCTTTAAGTATATACAATGATAATAAGAGCACAAGGTTCATTGACAGCACAACATTAATAATAGTTAATAATACTATTAAAGCTTAGGGGTCTCTAGGTGAATGATCTCACTATGATGTATAACTGAATTGTGAAAAAAAATACAAACACGTGAAGCAAAAGGATTTCTGGAGAAGGTGGCAACATTGTAAATTCATTTAAGGACTAGTGCTGCGTTGAGTCAATGCTGTTTTTCCATGTGGAAAGCTTGGTTGCTTCATGTTGGCCATGAAGAGAGAAGTAGAGGTTAATCCCACCCTAAAAAAGAGAAAAAAAGAACAGATGCTGTTTTGACCCAAAGAATATTTAAAGAAAACTCAACTGACAACACATTTTTTCTTTCTCTCTACATTTCAGTGCACAATTAACCTATACTTTTATGTTTTTAATGGTACATGCATGAGAAAATCTGAATACCCATCAAAAACCCCTTAGTACTACTGTAGGTGATATTATATTTATATTCATTTGGCAGACAGTTTTATCCAAAGCTGATTTACAGGTTGATCTGTAATCCCTTTGGTCCAGAAGCTAAGGGAGCAAACGAGGGAGATATAGTGCTGACACATTTGATCACAATCTTATTTTAACAGGCAAACTACATTTTCCTCCCTGACAATGTGAAACAAAAATAACTGCAATGATTATAAGACATATGTTATTTATTAAGTTTTCATTTTACTACACTAGCACAATTATGCATCCTACAAAGAAAAACGTTCCATATTGGTAATATGTGAAAGCTGATTGGAATCTGAGCAGATGTGGCATGAATGAACAATCAACAAATAACTATTAGAACTAAAGGCGTTTGTTGTGTTTTAATGCTTCTCTATGGAAGCCTATTAGTGCCATAAATAAAAACAAATTGCATTTAAACAAGATAATACTGTGTTTAAACAAGATAGCATTGCATTTAAATGCAATACTTATTGTGTATAAATGAAATAAATGAAATTGCATCTAAACAAGATAATTTTGCATTATTTCGAGATACGGGATGCTAACACATCACCACCAGCAACAGGACTCTCTTCATAAATGCATGACCCTGTTGGCTATGGCAGCATTCTGTGTACAATGCTGGATTCTTTTTTCTTGCATTCCCATATTTCATTATATTCATGTCTGTGCAATCCGACACAAACAACGCTGCTTCTTCTCCCTTCACATGACACATTTCTTGTCATGGGCTGTGTAATTTCATATTCAGATGTAGTTGAGGTAAGCATAGCATGTAAGCTTTTGGGGTTTTAATGCTTAAATACTCAACAATCGACTAATGGTAACAGTAAACCAACAGTAGCTACAGTTTAAATCTTACAGTACTGTTCAGTCATTGTAAATGTATTCTGTTCATTGTTTAAAGATTCATTCGAAGTTCATTGTTAAAAGTCTAGGCAACAACCTATCTAAATGTTTCAGCAGTTTCACAAGAAGAATATAATAAATTTGTAAAGTTGTCCTTTTTATGCTTTTCACAAAAATTGTGAAAATGACATCTTTAATCCAGGATTGCTCAATGACAGGTTGTTCAACTTGTCTTCGAAAATATTAATGCATATATATTACGATATATTCTGATATTAGACACAATTGTGTAAACACAATGTGATTGCATTTAAAAACAATAATTATTGTGTTTAATTGCAATAAAAACACAGTACTATTTCTCTGTGATGTTAATAGGTTTCCATATCTCTCAGTACACTTAATGGCTGTGGGTTACTAAACTGCTAAAAATACATGATGTGACTTGTATGTACAGTATATTTACCTATAGTTTTCCAACAGATTAAATCAAAGCCTTTTTACCTATGAAACTATGAAGACATGTTTAAAACCAAGAACAGAAACAATCTACAGTACACAAAGGGCTAAAATATATAAAACAAGCCACCCAGGCCTGATGTCAAATTCAATACCCTGGCTTCTTTCATGAAACGACTGGATGAGATCCTCAAATCAATTATCTACTGACTAATAAACGAGTTAGAACGACTGAATGGCCTCAATGTCATTGGAGACCTGTCTTATGTTGTGTTGTTCAACTGGAATTTGTGCAGTGGAGGGATGTAACAGCAGCGCTGGTTTGCTTGTCGTTCAGGACATGTCTTCAATATGCCACACGACAACGTGAAGGCCTGTGAGGAAGTGTTCGGAAAGCTAAAGGACAATCACATGATGTCTCCCACGCTCATTCAGATTGACCGCTCCAACCCCTGGTCCGCCTGTAGTGCGGCCATCGTTACCGACTTCCTGGACAGCGGCCACGGTAAGCTCCACCCCTAACAACGGCCATTTCACACTCTTAAAAACAAATGTTTCCCTCTAACTTTTATTGTGGTCCGGTAACTATCTCATGATACTGACCACGATCTTTTTAGCAACTTGTGGAAAGAGGTAAGGTTTCCTGAACATGAAGGATGGGAGTTCCATTTTATTCCTCTTGTAGTGAACACTTTGAGCCTACAGATTTTAATTCCATGAACAATTTAATATGAGGACACACTTCAGACCTGGGAAAACAACATAACATTTATTTTCCAGAAGCACAACCTCTATGCCATCTTTAAATGTTATTCATTTATTAAAAAAATGCTTAAACAGTTTTGTTTATGTTAAGGTATTAACATTAAACTGCTTAAAATTAACTAATGTGAAATAAGCAATGCTAAGAAAGTACAGTCCTTGGAGATGGATTTTATAGTCTTTTGAAAATCTTCCTAAACAATCTTGATCTTTAGGGAACCCATCACATTATATACAGTACATAAGGAGAGTTTAATTACACCTCACTGAGACAAATGGTTCTGTTGAAAACTCATTCAAAAAACACTAACATAAAATACATGCCCTGTTACATGCATAGCTTCCTAAGCTTTTCAAAAGGTGGTCAAGCTGGTCCAAATGAGATAAATCACCCCATCCATCTGCAGAAGGCTGGGATGCAGGGTTCATGGGGAAACAACAAATTTAAATAGCTGTAATCTAACCAATCGGACGAAAGTAGAAGGAAAGCTTTATAACTACCAGCAATGCTTTGGTTTTGGCACTGTAGTATATTTACAGATCCTTGTGAATAAAAATAGGAGTACATGGTTTTCTTATACCAGGATGAGAATGTTGGACTAGCTTTACCAAGGCTGCCAAGAAGGAACATAGCTAGCACTTTGAAGTGGTTCACACATGTGTGAGAATACAGTTAACAGCAGTAACCCCTCTCCCACTCCACACACTCCTTTTGAGGTTTTTTCCTCACTTCAATTAAACACTTTGACCGGATTACTCAGCTTGCGTCTGAATACCTGATTAAAGAGGGGAGACATCTTATTTCTTCCGTTGTACAAGAACAGAAGTTCTCCTGTTGTAACACAACAATGCCATGTTTTTTTTCTTTCCTCTCAGAGGTGCGAGACTTCAGGGATTCTGGGAAGATTACAACCGCACACACAGAACCGTTTTACAACTGCAGCACTTAATTTGCAATAAAATGTGAAATGCAGGAAGTTTTAGAGGGCATAGACTTGCCACACGTGAATTACTGTAAGAGCAGAGATTTCAAAGATTCCCTAAATATTTTAACCAGGGATTTCCTGGAATCTCTGGTTTCACATTCTTAAACATACATATATATATGGAGAGAGAGCATTAACAGATACCTTCCATTCTGTTTATGCATGTACATTTTAGAAAAATAGAGCATATGAATTTTGGATAAAGATTTAATAAGCTTTGCATAATTTTGATTAATTGATCATTTGAAGAACTGAGGAAAAGGACAGAATCCCAGAAGATATACTGGTGTAAAGCAGGAGTGTCAGGTGGTGACTTTCAAGGTCATTGTTGATTAACCGCACTGATTATAGATAAATCTGCCGGTTCAATAGACAGCCAGTGCACCTGCTCCCAATAAGAATTTTATCGTTTCCCGATAAAAAGTTTGTGGATTTCTTGCAGTTGAAGGTAATTAGTTTCCTTTGATCCACTGCATCTTTGACTTCATTTCTGTTTATGACCCAGCTTTTCACAGTGTTCATGGTGTACCTGCTATTATTTAATGATCATAACGTGTAATTTCTGTGGTTTGTGGGGTTTCAGTTTAGTTTCTCGATGTTACTTCACTGCTAGTTGTCCCAGACAGGCAGTACAAAGAGTTGAATTAGTATTTACAATTTCCCTGTTGTAGTTTTAAACATGATTGTTTTGATAGTGCCTTGCCTCTTTTGAAATTATGTTAGAAATACTGTTTACTACATGCAGTCACTGATTACGTGTACAATTACAATAGCTTTTATGTGGGAACTCTGAAAGATACCGGGACCAGTCTTATTAAAAAAAACAGCTGAAGTTGAAAATACCACAGTGAATACACCAACAATAAACAAGGCTCACAGCTGGATGCTAAGAGTCTTTGTCAAGCACAACTGCACATGAATGCCATGTAAATATAGTGTTAATAAAAGATCAGTCTTCTGTGGAAAGAAATATGCTAGCTCCCCTCTTTTAACCATCTTCCAGATTGATTAAGTTTTTGAGCAAGATGCTGTAACGCCCAAAGTTACCTGGTAGTAACAAATCTAAGAAAAAATGCCATCAGAGAACAGAAGACTTTTGTCAGGTTTTTGTCTAGTGTTTAGTGGGTGCACAGAATCACTCCACTGAACACTACTGAAGCTCATGGGTGGGGGGTATATAATGTATATTTTACACGCCTGGAAAATCCAAAGCCATTGATTTTTAAACAAGATGGGCTTTTCATATTTTTTCATTCATCCAACAAAGCAGAAAATATGTACTGACTTTAGGTTCAGGTTTATGGGAGACCCTTATGGCTCTAAACTGCCACATGTTTCAAGCAGTTAACAGGGGTTTCTAAGAGCCTACTAAAAGGTTAACGAGAGCACACTTGTTTCTGGACGAGATTTTGTCTCTGGACAGTATGTGGTGCAGAGTCGTATATCTGCTTTCTCGGGAGGGAAGTGTCTTTTAGCAGCTCTCCGTCATGGGCCATCAGAATTTCTCAAGCACTGTGTCATCGAAGCACGTTAAAAGGTCACACAGGGGTGATTGCTAGAAGGCGCACTTCATAATGACCACAGCGCTTTTAAATACAAAGCATGCAGCAGTTTGAACTTCTCTGCTGACCTCAGAGCAGATTAGTGCAGCTAAACCAATAGTACAGAATGTCTGTGCTAAAGCATGACTCACATTACACGTTGCTAACTGCTAAGTTCATTTGATCACCAAACAAAACACTGACAAAACTGTATGCTTACATTACAGTTTAAAATGGCCTGAAGATTGTTCACAGTTATTTACACAGGTAGTGATTGCCTCATTTGGTTTAAACTCAAAACTTTTGATTAAAATAAACATCCTTAGATGAATCCGGTGAACAGAAAATAAAGCTGTATTTTAAATGGCCAGGGGCCTTGCTGAATCACATCTTGCGCCAGTTGTTTTAATGATATATTTCAACCAGGTGTGCGCCAGCTTAACTCTCCCAGGGGAACTGAATTTTTTGGGGGAAGAACAAATACAGTCATTATGTATTCACCCATAAGCAAGATTTTGCAGGTTTAATTTGCAGTAGCTTTTAAAATACATTTTATTAGTATTATTATGAATAGTAGTAGAAGTGGGGTTTATGAACAGTAGTTGCAGTGTAAGAAAAGCAGTTAATTGTATTATTTTTAATTGCTTGAGAGTTTATATGGCCATACAGGAGAAAACACAAAACTTTATTCCTGTTGTTGTAAAAAAAACTTGCGTCAGAGGCAGAGAGAAAAAACTTGCGTCAGAGGGGCGGAGAGAGCATGCTCTTCAAGGGCCTTTGTCTTGTTCTGCAGGTGACTGTCTGCTCGATCAGCCACAGAAGCTCCTTGCCCTGCCAGAGGTGCTCCCTGGGACCAGCTACAGCCTGAACCGCCAGTGTGAGCTTGCATTTGGCATCGGGTCCAAGCCCTGCCCCTACATGCAGTCCTGTACTAAGCTGTGGTGTACCGGCAAGGCCCGAGGGCAGCTGGTCTGCCAGACCAGGCACTTCCCCTGGGCCGACGGTACCAGCTGTGGGGATGGGAAGTCGTGCCTGAGGGGCGTCTGCACCGAAAGACACAACCTGACCAGAAGCAAGGTCAGCAGCTCTGAGCCCTCCCAGCCTGGTTCTGCTGTGGTGTGGGCATATGACAATTCCTACTGCGGTTAGCAATTTTAGATTGAAGGTCTTCACTTTCTTGCAAAGCAAGCTTGTCTGAGAGCAAAAAATGACTGGTTTTGTCTAGTGTTTAGTAGGTGCACCGAATCATTCCAACTGAACATTATTGCAGCTCATGGGTGGGAGGGTATAAAGTGTATATACTGTATTACACACATGGAAAATACAAAGCCATTAATTTTTAAATGTAATGGCCTTTTCTCATTTTTTCATTTATCCAACAAAGCAGGGAATATTTACTGACTCTAGGTTCAGGTTTATGGGATAGCCTTATGCCTCCAAACTGCCACATGTTTCAAGCAGTTAACAGGGGTTTCTAAGAGTCTACTGAAAAGTGAATGAGAGGACACTTGTTTCTGGACGAGGTTTTGTCTCTGGACAGTGTGCGGCGCTTCAGTTGTGTTTGCTCCTCTAACAGGTGGACGGCCGGTGGGGAACATGGGGCCCATTCGGCACCTGCTCTCGGACATGTGGTGGGGGAGTCCAGCTGGCTAAGAGGGAGTGTAACAACCCTGTGCCAGCCAATGGTGGCAAATACTGCCAAGGTGTGCGCGTCAGGTACCGTTCCTGCAACCTGGACCCCTGTCCTGACACAGGTAAGGTGTAGTGTTTCTCCTGGACGGCATGTGAGCTGGTAGCACACTAGAGTATTTGCTGCACTTTACGAAGGCCTTAATGAACAAAAGGGAACCACAGTCATCTTGAGTCATTGCTTGGCTGAGGAACCATTAGTGGAAAGCTACCATCTGTGGGACAATGACTGAAGGCATCTGAAGTCAAAATCCCCCCTAAAATGTTAATTCATTTTTAGACAAAAAGATAATTGAAAGATTTCTGGTGTTATGCAAAGGCCTTCCTTTTCAGTACAAGCAAAAAAGTTAACAAATTATATGATTGTTACCTTCAATGGAATTCTTCAAGAGCTCTCCTAATTAAGCTATTTATTTATGTCCAGTTTGTTAGAAATATGCTCTTTTTTGCAATCTACTAAAGTTCACAGAGACCCAACAATTTGTGTTGCTTTCAGCAGAAAGTTTCAAATTCAACCATGTGATTTGTCAGCACACTTTGTGATTCTGTGATTCGCTGTTCCATTTCCAGTATGCGTCTTACTGATGAAATCCTAACAGCCTGTTTTTATTTTGGTTTGCTTCCAAAAGGTAAAAGTTTCCGCGAGGAGCAGTGTGAAGCTTTCAATGGCTTCAGTCTCAACACGAACAGGCTGACCCCATCTGTAGTGTGGGTCCCCAAATACTCTGGGGTATCGCCCAAGGACAAATGCAAGCTCATCTGCAGAGCAAATGGCACAGGCTACTTCTACGTTCTCGCCCCTAAGGTCAGTAATTAAATATGATTAAACAAGTTATGTAATATAATATATTGCAATGTGTTGCACTACAAGAATATACAAAAAAACATTTGATTAAACATCGAAAAGTACTGAATTGTGGAGTTTGTATGTTCTCGCTATGCTCTCCTGGGTTTCCATTGGGTACTCAGGTTTCCTACCACAGTCCTAAGACACATCTGCAGGTTAATTCGCTTCTGGGAAAATTGGCCCTGTTGTGAGTGTATGTAACCTGCGATGAACTGGTGTCCCATCCAGCATGTATCCTGCCTCGCACAAGATGCTTGCCGGGATTGGATCCAGCTCCTTCCTGGACCCTGTATTAGAATGGATGAATGGAAAGTACTTTATTTTCCATAATAATCATCTCCCTGCATCTCTCCTCCCTTGTCAGTCTCCCTCTGAATCAATTGGCCTGTTCGTCCGGTACCATATCAGGCACTAACATGTGAGCACAGCAGAGGTTCCCAATGAGTCCAGAAAACCTCCAAAAAAAATTGCATCAGAAAAAAATCTGTATAAATCAAATCAGAAAAACTGAAGTAATGTTAAAAGAGGAAAGTAGATACAACAGTCAAGACTTAAATGTCAGAACCAACATTACAAAAAAACATTGTATCACATGGCTCACATGGCTATCAGTTGTCATGCTTTTAATATATTTGCATGAACTTAATGGTTCTATTTGGTTTTATATGTATGCTTCTTTGGGGAAGATGTGTAAGGAATAATGAAATGGTGTTCTAAAAATGTACTGTATGCATGCATGTGTATATTGAACATGCAAAGGTAGTGGATAAATACAGGAAAACAAACAACAAGATGGCCTACTACTAACTGAACAAGGAGAAAACCACTGCAGCCTCCCGGTACTGTTCACTATATAATTGTCCTTCATGCCTGCTCCTAATGGCATGCTGAAACAGAAGAGCCAGTACTGTACTTCACTACCGTTAAAAGAAAAGTAGAAAAACGATTATATTGCCTTAAAAGGAATGCAGGAGAGCTTATCTCTTGAAGATATCCAAGTGTGGAGTGAAGGGTGTCAGATTAAGGAGTGCAGGTCTGTCGTTGTGGGAGAGAATGGAAAGAGACCCATTGAGAACAGCTACCTCTCACAGCTGCACAGCATCAGCAGCAGCAGTTTATTCAACAGAAACAGAAACACCCCTTTAAATCACTCTTAGTGCTGGCTTTTTATCTCCACCCTTGCCTATACGGTACTCATGATTTTCTTTGTGGTTGGGTACAGAAGGGCAAGATCATTCGATCTTTGCAAAAAATTCAAATCGCAAAAGACTTGCAAAGGGAATAAGTAAAAATAGTTTTAAAATAAATAAGTACTTTTCTAGATGTCTAAAATGAACTGCCCATAAATCATTTTGTTGGTTTCTGCATTTTCTTCCCACCTTTCTTCAGGGTGATGTACTTGGATATAGACATTGGCTGATATAGACTTAGACAGACTCAGGACATTGCTAAACACTCTAGCATTTAAGATAAGGGCCAGATAAGACTCGAGGTCATCTTTAAAATAAATAATCTGTTTCTGTAAATTCAACAATACCAAGGCATTATGCTGTAAAATGTGATATAAAGAATGAATTAGCCTTCATGCAATTGGAAAGCTCTCAGTGAATGCTAAAAGAAAATGACAGTCAAGCTACAAAGCAATAGTTGAAATTAACTATAAAACTGGAAAATTAGTTAAACATGAAAAATGAACAGCAAACACAGTAAAGCACATTTAAAATAGCCATGTCGGTATGGGAGGGATTCAAGTATGTAATGGAGACATTGAAATCTTCTAAAAAACTCAAGAATCACACATTGTATGAGCCGAGTGCCTGCAATCTGATGTCTGAAACTGAGAAAATAGCTACCACTAAGTCCTTCAATCCCAGGTCAAAAAAGAGCACTTATGTTCAGAAATATATTGCTGTCCAGATGAAACCTCCCGCAGAGATTTTGTCATCTTTCCTTGTAAGTGAAGACTTCTTTTTATGACGAACAGGCTTTGTAGGCAACGCTTTTCTATTAGCTAACGGTCCAACCAATTTTTGTAATAATAGCCCGATTTTTGCCCAGGTCGTGGATGGGACCCCTTGCACTCCCGACTCCTCGTCAGTTTGTGTGCAGGGAAAGTGCATCAAAGCCGGGTGTGATGGGAAACTGAGCTCAAAGAAAAAGTTTGACAAGTGCGGCGTGTGTGGCGGAGACAACAAGAGCTGCAAAAAGGTCTCAGGACTATTTACGAAACCCATGTAAGTGTGCAGTGGGCCTGTTGCGTTAAGGACAGGTCTTTTAATTAGGAAAGATAGCTCCCCGAAACTGTGAGGATGGGATTAACAGCTACATGAGTTAATCTACTGCATTTTAAGAATTCCTGGTATATTAAGAAAGTGTTATAAATGTATCAAAGAAGAGCAGGGTGTGGGAATAGCTTCTTAGCAGCTAATGCTTGTACAGTTGTAACATGTCTCTCACCAGCTAGGCATCCTACTTTGATCTCTCTCTTCCACTGTGGTGCCAAGATACACAGCTAATATGAAACGCCGCCCTACTATTTGATGTTTTGCAGCCACGGTTACAACTTTGTTGTGATGCTGCCAGTGGGAGCTTCCAACATTGACATCCGACAGCGCGGCTACAGGGGGATTGTGAACGACGACAACTATCTGGCGGTGAAGAACAGCCAGGGGAAGTACCTGCTGAATGGGAACTATGTGGTGTCGGCGGTGGAGAGGGACATCATGGTGAAAGGCAGCCTGCTCCGTTACAGCGGGACGGCTACGGCGGTGGAGATGCTCCAGGCCTTCAAGCCCCTGCAGGAGCCCCTGACGGTGGAGGTCCTCTCGGTCGGGAAAATGACCCCGCCGCGGGTCCGATACTCCTACTACTTACCCAAGGAAAACAAGGAAGAAAAGATGGTGTACAAAAAGGACGGGAATGACCATTCACACAACAGTGTCCTGGTGGACACCAACAAGATAGAAGGGAGTAAGCCGGAGTACATAAGGCCGATGTACAAATGGGCAGTGGGCAGCTGGGAGGACTGCTCTGTGACCTGCGGCAATGGTTTGCAGAAAAGGTCAGTGGAGTGCCTTGACACCGACGGGAAATTAGTGACCGACTGCGACACTGCGCAGAAGCCCAACGACATCCGTTTGTGCGGCGACCCGTGTCCCGTGTGGAGCATAGGAGAGTGGTCCCCCTGCTCCAAAACATGCGGGAAAGGGTTCAAAAGGCGGGTTTTACGCTGCATGACTCAGACCGGCCTGCTCCTACCCCGAGACCACTGTAACAGCAAGAAGAAACCGCAGGAACTTGACTTCTGCACGCTGCGGCCATGTTAATGAACCCCAGCCGCCAGGCCCATCGCTTACAGGATCTGTCAAACGCATTCGGCACAAAAGTCAACGATCCAGACCGATGTGCTCTGGTGCATCGGCTTATACGGGGGCAAAACTTGCTGAGAGGAGCAGTAAATCGAGAGAGGTACGAACTGTAGGCCATCGATTCAAATGACACAGAGTGGGAGTTACACACAGAAGTCTACCTCTAATAAAGAAAAAAAAATATTGTGATTTGGACACTGACAGTGTTTTCGGGATTCAGTCTTTTAGAAACCGATAAGATGCCAAAGAAAGTACATGAAATGAATTAAGAATCACTGGAATTTTAGGAAAGCATATATTGTTCCACATAAGGTCTTGACTTCCCCTCACTTCAAATAAGCAAATGTTTTTTAACAATTTTTCTGCAAAAGAAAAACAGTTATATCTCTTCTTGTTGTTTTCTGCTAAGATCCACAGAAAGGGATGCTGCATAAAATGTGTGTACTGTGACTACGTCTAGGATTAAATAATGAAACTGACACACCCCTCAATGTTTTGACCCCCAAAACTTTTAAAAGTAGAGATTGGAGTGACAAGTGTCGATAAACATACTAATTGTTATTGGTGATTGAATACAAGCCTATACTTGAAAAGCAACCAAATTTTGATTCAAGCACTTCTTTGAAGTCCTAAATGCATAAGGTAAATATCTCTAAATAAATGTTGTTTACAAGATTTATTTTTAGCAGTGTATTAGTATAATCACACAATATTAGATTCTCAAAATTTAAATTCACTCTGAAAGAAAAATGAACCCTACCAAAATAATTTTGAAATTTGAAATGCCCGCATCAGTGTAAATACAATTCTTTATATATTTTTCTAAACCATTCTTCTTGCACAAAACATTAAAAAATACAGAAAAAATCCAAAGATATATATTTCCTAAATGTATAAATGTGTTGCTTAAAAGTTTAATTTATTCACCATTTTCATAATGTTACAAATAATGTTTCTGTATCAAAAATGTACAAATCCCAATGCTCAATGCAAAATGGGATTATCCCTTTACTGATGTGCATGCCTAATGAAAATTAAGTGTCCAGTTTATTAGACTGATAAAATTTAGTGTTTTGTATAAAACAAATTATACATGTGATTAGAATTCTGTATATGAAGAACGCTGTACTTTGAAACATGAAAGCAAAAGTCCTTCGTATAAGGAAATGAAAGTGTACACAAAAACAACAAATTTTAAAAATATGACTTAAAACAGAGGTATTAATAAATGCCTGTCAAACCCTGGAACAATGCATGGATAAAATGTGCATTAAATTATTTATAGATTACATATATAGGTTTGTGTATGCAGAAAGTAACACTTTTTTGTCTTTTATTTTAGGGACTCAAATGTTACCAATGCAATACAGAATGAAAGTATGTACTGTATCATACATATATTTCTTTTCTTGAAAAAAACTGTATTGCTGTACTAATGCTTTCTTACCTGGTGTGGTCAACTGTGTCTTGAAAAAGCTGTATTGATTCAGCTTTCCTTTTCTTCCCTCTCAGTGTAGATATATGTGTGTAAGGTTATAAAATGCCTATGTACTGCAAGGAGCTCACTCTACTCAGTCACTTTATCACTGCTTGAAGTCCCCTTAGCAAAAGCATAAAGGACTGATGCATTAAGCCATTTCTTCTTTATAAAATGCCTTCTTCAGTTGAAGCACTTGGTGTGATTAAACAAAGGTGCTTCTCATCATGGTTCAATTCACCTCACAAAGTAACTTTTTCAGCAAAACAACCTGCACAGAAAGGTAATCAAAAGTTAAATGAATGGAAATAATCTGAGGAATATTAACCAGGGCCTTACAACAAAAAAAGTCATGGGACACGGACAAAAAGGAATATATGCAGACAGTAATATTGGGTCTCCTCCACATTACTTGTCCATGCGTAGTTTGGCTGAGGTTTGCAGGATGGTTATATACTGTACCATGTCGAATGATAATCAGAGGGATAAAAGGAAAAAAGGCAGTTAGACACAGAGACACCTGACGATGACTGCACGCTCACTGAGAACAGTCCCTGTCTCGGATTTACTCCTCTACCTGGTTTTCTTGCAGTTGTTGAACTTTAGGATTTTGGCAGATACTGCTTTAGTTGGTCCTTATCCTTTCTGTTCCTTGCCAGCAGTGCAGCTGCTAATGTCAAGCCCTGTCTGGTACAGTTGCCGTCAAAAACGTAAATTATTTCAAACAACAAATCGGCTAAAGGCCTAGTTTTGGTCAATGCGCATCCTCAAATCTGACATGTAGTTTCTCCCACTGTATGTGCTGAGTTTTTTATAACTATTTTAAATGAGAATCCTGTATTCCATTAAACCACATATTTTTGCTGTTTTGTTTTTTTTGGTTCGAGGGGACCACATCTTCCATCTAAAAGATGGTTCCTTTATTACTTGTAATTTTGTTTTCTTTTGCACATTGTACAGCAAAAGACTTTACACCTTTTGTACTGGCTGCTCTGTATACTATGTATACATCCATTCAGCAGTGCACCAATAAAATAATGTAAAAAGAAGTTTTAGTTTACAGTCGACGTTTTGAATTGTCTGTGACATTTCCAAGTATTTATTCAAAATAAAATCATTTAGAAATTCTTTTTTGGAACCTGCCTTGCTCCACATTTAGACATCTATGAAATCATGAATAAGTGAAAGTTCATTTAGAAGTGAAAAAACACTTTGAAGCCTTTTTTGCATTCAAAGTAATGTTGGTTTTTAAACATGAAAAAAGCTGATTCGTAGAAGGACGATCAAAAATATTTTAAATATCCTCACATACCATGTCACATACAGCTACCACAGGAATTTAATATTGGCACTGCAAACAAATACAGTATTTCTGTAGGGAATCTATTTCTGTAAGCAGTTCAATGCCACAGGTATATTCCAGGTATGCCATTTGATGTGAAATAGCAATTGTGAACTTAACAATAAATTTAAATGGTCATGTTTCATATTTATGTAAATACTACATCCATTGCAGGACACATTATCATACAGCATTTGTTTTATGTCTTTACCATGGTCATTAACTGACATTCTCAGTAACTCCCAACCAGGCACACAAGTTCTATGAACACCTTAACTGAGTGTATTCAACATTGAAATGTCAAGAATAATGAAATCATCAAAATTGGAGTGGTTTTGGCAATTGACTCTTTTCCTGGGAGAAGCAGGAATTTTTGTTAGCACGCTCGGCATACTGAAAATCTTGCACTGAAGCACAGATTTTTCGGTCGCTATAAAACAAGCCACCTGTTATTGGTCTATAATACTGAAAAAAATAGAACTTGTTTTCTTTAGCCCTGAAATTAAGGTTCTCATGGAGCTTTAAGTGATTAAAAAAAGAATTATTCATCCATATATTGGTCTAAAATCACCAGAATCCTGAACTGCAGCTAAATTAGTCAGGTGATATAAGGAAGTTTCATATCGCTTGACAAAAGGGTGTTTCCTCCAGGCAGAAAATTAATGTATGGCCTTTTTCATGCCAAAAGAAGTTGGAATAGCCAAACACACAGCATGAGAAAATATCCTTATTCACCATCTCTGACAAACTGGGTAAAAATATATCAGTGATATATCAAAAATATATCTGGTGACAGCCACAGTCTTAAATTATCAATTGCTTGGGTTATTATTCCAAGTTTCAGCATAAGGATCCAGCATAATTTCAGAGAGAAAACTGAGCAGGCAGTTGGGAAGTGAGATGGAGAAATACCCAGGGAAAGTTCTTACTTTGAGTTAGCTGGGTGTAGCTGCAGACATTTAAAACAAATAGATTGATTTTTAAAGATGCATCGTTATTAACCTATCTGTTTTAAACAGAAATTTTAGTTAAATCTGTGTTATAGTATAATAAGCCCTCCCTACAACTGGCACTAACTCATGTGTCAGGGCGTCTGTGGTGTGCCAGTGGGGATTGTCCATATTCTCGTGATTTCCCAAATATGTACAGGAGTCACTGCTAGACAGCCAAGTCAGAAAACAATTAGTGATTTCAAATTGGGTGGATACTTCATAAAAACTGCTGCTGCTGCAGATTCAGATTTAAAAAAACAATGACAAACGGGATCCAAAAAGAACCTAATCTGAAGGGAGTAACTGCCCATCAGCTCAACCCTATTTTTGGCTCATTATCCACCACATATTGAGACAAGATTATTTGTGGAAAAAAATCAAGCATTCCAATCAAATCTCTCTGGATATATTTCAAATATAAGGCAAAGGAATCTCTCTCCAGGCTGCAATGTCCTATTAGGGATTTTTCCTTTTACTCCTGTGTCAGCAGACACTACGCTGTGTTTTTGCAGTGCAACTGTATTCTTACAGTGAAAGAGACTAACAGAACCTTTGATGTGTGTTCATTTAATACAGGTCATGCAGATAGAAGTACAAAGGAAATAAATGGTTACATCACGAATCCCCTTAATTTAGGACATATATCAGAACTATTAACGAATGGCATTTGTTTCCCTCCCTGTGTCGCACTGTGTATCAAGGCATATCCATTCACCTGGGTTCATAATCAAATTTGGAAATACAGTAGCACTGTGGCACAGTGGCTGACATTGTTGCCTTGCAGCACTGAGGCCCTGAGTGCAATTCCTGGGCTTCTATCTCTGTAGAGTTTGTATGTTCTCCCCATGCTCACTTGGGTTTTTGCTCGGCGCAAAAACGTTAATTGGCTTCTGGGAAAATGAACACTGGTGTTACACCCAGGGTGTACCCTGCCTTGCCCCTGATATTTGCAGAAAAGGATCTGGCTCTCCCACAACCCTGTATTGGATAAAGCAGTTAGCAAATTGATGGATGAATGTGTTTATGTAACCTAACTTCAAACCGAAACTTTTTATTGTTTTATTATGATACAAAAAGACAATTACTATAAATGAGCCTGGTCATTGGAGTAGTCTCAATAGGTTTCATGAAATAACATGTCCGTTACACTGAAGGCTCACAGTGTTAAACACTAATAGTCTTCAGTGTGATGAATGTTTAACATTCACAAACAGCAAAGACCATGTCTTTTGGCATCCCATGCATTTTAGAGTTCACACATTTTAAGTTTATCTCAGGATAAAAGTGCTTACAGGTTCAGGAGGAACAAACTGTTTGCTGGGAAACACTGTCTTAACTTCGTAGAAGACCTGAAAGGTAGATTTATTTTCTATCCCTGTTCCTCCTTCACATCCTGAGCCTGGTTCTCTGACCAGCACACCCTTTTATAATAGGCACAGCTGCTGAGATGAGAAACACCCATGCTCCCAATAAAGCTAAACCCCAAATCTCAAAACTGCTAAACCCTTTAATGGCTAGATGAGAAAGACAGTCCTGCACGCATAGCAGTAAACTCCCTTATGAATATTTCTTGAATTTCTCATAATATTTTCAAACATTCGCTAAGGTTTTACATTTCCTTTGCAGTGATTCCCAGTGGTTAGACATGTCTTTACTGTGCTTTTTCTCCTTGATGGATGTAAGTACATGAGTCAACCCAGGTCAACTTTTGCTGGTCATTTTTTTAGAGATATGGATCATGGTAAAGTACAGTGAAGGCATCTTAGAACCTTTTTGTTTAGCATTCTAAAAATACAAAACTTTCAAGTTAATTCACCTGAAAAGCTTTAAAAACGTGTTAGGTAGATCTAACATAACTTTCTGGATGGATTCATGAAAGTCATGTGGAAAAAGCAGTTTATGTCTCCATTTTATTTTGAGTAGACAACATGACCAAAGCATGGCTGCCCGATCTTCACACACCCTCTATGCGAATAAGGTTAGATAGCTGAGCTAATGCTGTCTGTTTCCCACTAGGGTTTGAACTCTTGACCTTACTCACGCAAAAGCAAGGGCTTAACATCTTTGCCACAACATGCCTGCTTATCTGCCTCCCAATGGGTTATATATATCAAGAGTATGATACCAGAGAGCTGATAGAATTTGATGATAGACTTTAGAATTTAGCTGAATTAGCCATTTAAATACCCTGGAAAATTAGTCACAGACCAAACACATCATGCCAGTTAATCCAGCTTCATTGTGATGAGAATACAGGCTGCTCCTAGGTTTATTGCGACTCACTGCACATTGGGGTAACGTCAAAGATGTGGCTTTGGGTCCCGTGGAACTATACAGTGTATGTCCTCTCATCCTGATCCTGCTATTCCTAACTCACTTTTTTATTGGGTCACACACAGACAACTGGATACGAATCTCAGAGCCAAAAAGTCTGCTGGAGTCTCTGGCCAGCTAATGACAAGATGGAAGGGAAATGGAATTCTTCAGCACAGGGAAAATCCTACTCACCAGTATGCCCTTATATTTCCTGTTGAAAGTAACTGACCTATAAACCCAACATTTTAGCTCGATTGACAAAAAGGTGTGTTTTGTGTGGGGAAGGGGAGAATGCCCCAGCTTCGCTCTGGCAGGACTGCGGCTACAGCAACATCGTCAACAATAAGCGGACGACTCCGGGAATAATTAGCAATAACAGTCAGGCACCTTTTGGCAACATCTGACTAAGAGCAGAATCCTGTAAAGTTTCATGGCCCTAATTCAGAAAGGGATTCACTGTTCTGGATTTCCTTTGCCAGGAAAAAAAAAAACTATCATAGACAGGAGGCTACGGTGTAAAATTTGATATTTGAGCTTTCAGTAGTCAAGGAAATCGATATAGAAAAACACATTTCAGTGATAATGAGGTCAAAGGAATATACTGTCAGGAAGGGAGATTAAATAAATTCATACCTGTACTTCTTTCAGTCTGTCACTGTAGCATATGTATTGCACTATACAGTATGCTTTACATATTGCTTTCCATTTTATTTATTTGCTACTGATTAGTCAATTTACTTGAAACTGTTTTCAAATTGAGCTGGTGCATTTCACCAATTTATTAATCATTTAACATTGCTAACCGCTGCACAAATTTAAATAAGCATGTCTGCTGAGCAAATAAGTGTGGGCAGAGCAGGAAAGAACCATAAATATTTGCGAATACGAAATTGCCATAAAGAATCTTCCAGAAGATCAGCCACACTGTAAAGTATTTTTGTGCATCATCACAATCATTCCACACAGAATGACTCTCAAACTTTCTGATAATGCGAATACATACAGTACATCATTCCCACATCTTTCTTGGATTATGAGTAAGTAAGTTATGCGGTCATTCGTATTTCACTGAAGCTAGTTGCTTCGAAACTGCTATACCATTAGAGAAAAAACGAATCTATCGGAAACTAAAAATTCTGTTGAATGTAGAAAAACTACTGGCATCTGCACCTCTGCATTGAACGCACTCATCACATCAGCTATTTGAAACTTAAAAAAAATCCCATCCCACACCGAAGCACAGCAATTGTGCCATGATGTCTGTCTCTCTCCCTGACCTTTACAAAGAAGTAGCTGCTCACAGGCTGACCCTGTCCAGAGCCCAGAGCTGAGAATCCTTTCTCTGGAAACTGAATGGCTGTCAAAACCTGACTTCACTCAAACCGCTGCTTTAGTGGGC